CTAAGTGCAGGACTCTGCACTTGTCCTTGTTGAACCTCATCAGGTTTCTTCTGGCCCAATCCTCTGATTTGTCTAGGTCCCTCTGTATCCTAGCCCTACCCTCCAGCGTATCTACCACTCCTCCCAGTTTAGTGTCATCTGCACTAGAAGGGACCAACCACTGTGACCATCTAGCATGATCTCTGTTATAACACAGGCCCCAGAATTTACCTGAAATAATTCTTGTCTGTACTAGAGAATCTTTTAGAAAAAGGTCCAATCTTGATTTAAAAAATTACCAGAGATGGAGAGTACAGCACAAACTTTGGTAAGTTGCTCCTACTGTTGATTACTCTTACTTAAAATTTAGGGCTGTCAAGCGATAAAAAAAAAAAACATGATTAATCGCACTGTTAAACAATAATAAAATACCATTTATTTAAATATTTTTGAATGTTTTCTACATTTTCAAATATATTGATTTCAGTTACAACACAGAATACAAAGTGTACAGTGCTCACTTTATATATATATTTTATTACAAATATTTGCACTGTAAAAACAAAAGAAATAGTATTTTTCAATTCACCTAATACAAGTACTGTAGTGCAATCTCTTCATCATGAAAGTTGAACTTACAAATGTAGAATTATGTACAATAACTGCATTCAAAAATAAAACAATGTAAAACTTTACAGCCTACAAGTCCACTCAGTCCTACTTCTTGTTCAGCCAATGGCTCAGACAAACAAGTTTGGTTACAATTTGCAGGAGATTGCACTACAGTACTTGTATTAGGTGAATTGAAAAATATTATTACTTTTGTTTATCATTTCTATAGTGCAAATATTTGTAATAAAAAATAATATAAAGTGAGCACTGTACACTTTGTATTCTGTAAAAAGAACAGGAGTACTTGTGGCACCTTAGAGACTAACAAATTTATTAGAGCATAAGCTTTCATGGGCTACAGCCCACTTCTTCGGAAGCCCACGAAAGCTTATGCTCTAATAAATTTGTTAGTCTCTAAGGTGCCACAAGTACTCCTGTTCTTTTCACGGATACAGACTAACACGGCTGCTACTCTGAAACCTGTCTTTGTATTCTGTGTTGCAACAGAAATCAATATATTTGAAAATGTAGAAAAACATCCAAAAATATTTTATTAAATTTCAATTGGTATTCTATTGTTTAACAGTGCGATTAATCACGATTAATTTTTTGAGTTAATCACGTGAGTTAACTGCGACTAATCAACAGCCTTATTAAAATTTTATGCCTATTTCTAGTTTGAATTTCTCAAGCTTCAACTTGTATACCTTTGTCTGCTAGACTGGAGAGCTCATTATTAAATATCTGTCCCCCCTAGGTATTTACATACTGATCAAGTCACCCCTTTAACCTTCTCTTTGTTAATCTAAATAGATTGAGCTCCTTGAGTTTCACTATAGCAACCAGAGACGAACCCATGGTGATGTAATACATTTCACTTTAAATAAATAAAAGGCGACAGAAAGTTTATCTCTGAAGTCCGTGAGCCTGGAGTAGTTATTAAAGTCATATTTCGCTAACAAAGGTTGGTCGTTAAATGACATAAAATTGCAGACCTGTGGAGGAGAAGACCTTCTTTACCAGGAGGTCGTGTCTCTCAGAGCCCTTATCTGCCAGAGTGAATTTCTGGTAGTGCCACCAAGCACTGTCTGCAGTCACCTGTACCACCACCAAGTTGAATATATCCTCCAGTGTTACATAAGTAACAGCCTAGGGTCTGAGGAGTTCCAGCAGTTACACCTGAAGGACTCAGCTCATCTGTTGCAGTTGAATGGTCTTTAAATGAACAAGGCGGTGCCGACAATTGGTGCAGACCAGGACTCATAGAACCGGTGGGCATTTGTGCTTTACGCTTCGGTACCACCTTCAGAACCGGCAGATCTCTCTTTTTGCCCATCTTGCCTTCCAACCTGGGGGGTCTTTGGCAGAGCTGGTTCCATTGGTTCTGAGCGAGACACGACATCTCACCCAACCTGGACCGGCTCAGGGAGGAAACACGTTTCTTATTGACTGTCCTTTGCATGGTTCTGTCCTTGTGCCCATCAGAGTGTTCTTTACTTTCATGGGGAGCCCTGAAGGAAGAGCCCTTGGGCTTCAGTGTTAGAGGCTCCACTCCAAGGCACATGCTTGGAGGGCACGGCTGGTTGGTTGAGGCTGACATACAGGGGGTTCTCCTGGGCCTGGATCAGAGAGGGGCCTCATAGCCTCCTCCATCAGGTACTTTCTTAGGCAAAGCCCCCGTGCCTCTCAAGTTCTGGGTGGTAAGGATCGACAGATACTGCACTTTGCAGAGATACGTGCTGCACTCAGACAGTACAAGCACTGTTGATGTTCATCATTGATGGAGAAGGAGCAAGGGCAGGAGATGCAGTTCTTGAATCCCAGGACTCTGGGCATAATCCCGGAACCAGGGATGGTTTCCCTCAACTGGGGCGGAAAAAACTACTCTAAACTTATTAGAAAATTAAACTACTAAACTACAATATAAACTACTTAAAAATATTTTCTACTTTACAGGTTATAGTGAAGGAGGACATGACTCCAACTCAGGCTCTGCAGAAGTAAGAAGGAACTGGAGAGGCATTGACCCGCCCTGCCTCAGATATCCTTGGTCGGGAGCACAAGGGGAGCTACTGCATGTGCAGATCAACGGACACTGCTTTTGAAGAATTTCCGGACTCAGACCTGCATGCGTACCTATGTGTGGAAAATACATAGGGATCATCACTTGAAGAACTGGGGCCTTCCCCCGCTTCCTCTTTCCAAACCACTTCCAAGTCTGAGTCCTTTCCCTTCTCAACCACATTTCTGTCTGTGACCTGCCCCTCCACTCCCAATCTATCCCAGAACCAGGGCCTGCTCTCTACTCCATCTCTGCCCATCCCAGGCCAAAGATCTTCCACTCACTCACACACACCACCTTAGAGTATACCCCATCTCATATCTGAAACCTTCCCCATATTCCTTTTCCAGAGACAATGTGGCTTTCTCCTCCAAAACCTTGTCTCAGACACAGAACTTTTCCATTCCCCCAAAGTGCTTGGCTCAAGACTCAGGATTCCCTTCATCTCAGATGCAGGAATTATTTTCATTGGCAGAGTCTCACCTGCATGAGCTGGACAACGGTCATATTAACTGGGACCTGGAAAAGAAAAATCAACAGATGTGTTTTAACTGTAAGTGCCCAGAGTCACTAGGAGATCACACACCAGTGTCTAGATAATATGGTGATAAGCAGAGCTCTGCCTATTCCAAGGCTGTGGAACTCGCCACCAACTTTGTGCTCTAGAATCTAGAAGTATGGTCTAGTGGATACGGCACTGGTCTGTTACCCAGGAGACCTATGTTGTTTTCCTGGTTCTGCTAGTGACCTGCTGTGTGCAAAGCCAAATTAAGGTACTACAGGCCTGTGTAGCCGAGGGCTCCTGCAACTGGCATCAGATGATTACAGAAGAACCTCAGCTTTCATTTACGAAAATGTAATTTTCTAAGTCCCATGGTTGTGAAGTAAACCTTGAAAATACAAACCAAGTGTAACTGATGCAGTGACATCTGTTCTACTCTGCAGACATCCTGAAAAAATAATTCTGGGAGGAGCAAACTGTCTCATCCATTTCAACAGCATATTAATATTTAGACCAATATTCATTTTAATAAATCTTGGACTGCCAGGGAAATTCCCAAAGAATAGAACAGCAATGATGGTGTGCCAATATTCAGAAAGGGAAAACAGGAGGATCCTAGTAAAATAGGCCAGCTAGCCCAACATCAACCTCAAGAAAAATAATTGAAAAGCTGATATCAAATCAATCAAATTCTGGGAATATAATTAATGCAGTCAACATGGTTTTATAGAAAACAGCTCTTGACAAACAAACCTGATTTAATTATCTGATGTGATTGCAAGTTTGGTTGATAAAGGTAACTGCATAGATGTAATAGATTTAGACTTTTGTGAAGCACTTGACTGGGCATCACAACATTCTGATTAAAAAATTAGCACTATACAATATCAGTACAGCACATATTAAATGGATTAAGAGCTGGCTAACTGACATATCTCAAAGCAGTTATCAATAGGGGATGTGTTTCTAGTGGGGTTCTTCAGAATCGGTTGAAACCTGATGCTATTCAATCTTTTCATCAATGACCCAGAAGTAAATATAAAATCACTGCTAATAAAATTTGTAGTTGACACAAAGATTGGTGGAGTGGTAATAATGAGTAGGACAGGGCTGTCATACACAGTGATCTGGATTACTTGGTAAACTGGACCCTGTCAAACAAAATGTGTTTTAATACAGCTACCTGCAAGGTCATACATCTAGGAACAAAGAATGTAGGTCACTGTTACAGGGTGAGCTGACCTTTTTCGTGGGTTGGACCTCAGCTGCACCTGTGCCACGCTTAGCTTGCCTCCCCAACTGAAGGGAGAGAGTGCTGAAGTCATGTTACAAAGCTGATGCAACTAAACTGGGCCTTCAAGGAAGCTAGTGACCTGTGATCAGAGCAAGATCAGATCAGAGAGACTCCAGAGAGAGTGGCACTGGGAATGGATGCTTCAGCAGAAGTGGGTGGGAGGACTCCAGAAAAAAATAGACCTGGGAGTCAGTGCTCTATAAAGAGAAGGATGGCAGGCTGGGAGAACACAGGAGGAAGACAGGGAAGTTTGGGATGACTGGGCAGACAGCCTGGTTGTTCAGGATACCCAAGGCTGGGAACCAATAACCGACAATGGATGTGGGTTAACCCTATGCTGCCACCCTGTGAGTTTCCCTTAATCTCCCCTAATATTAAGGAGAGGATGGACAGACTGTTCATGCTGCCATCAAGCAAGGTCATGCGGTGACTCTTCTGAACACGGGGAGGATGAAGGAACTAAGAGCCCAGGAGGGCCAGAGCTGAGCCCAAGAGAAGTGCAGTGCTGAAAGAGTGTGGTGCAGAAAAGAAAACAGACCCTAGGGGAGAAAGGGCTGTGCCTCGTGAGACTAGGATGGAAGATGTGTGTTTGTTTGATTTGATTTAAAGGGATGAACTTTTTGTGACTTGGCCAGAGAGCTATGTCACCTGCTGAAGATGAAAAACCCATGGGAGATTAAGGGAAAATGAGGCACCAGAGCAAAATTGGGCAGATCCCTGTTACAATCACACTTCCAGAATAGCAGGCTATGCTTTGGAAAACTGTGACACAAAAAAGGACTTTGGGAGATGTGGTATATCTTGACTTTAGTAAGGCTCTTGATACTGTTTCGCATGACCTTCTCAAAAACAAACTAAGGAAATACAACCTAGATGGAGCTACAATAAGGTGGGTGCATATCTGGTTGGAAAATTGTTCCCAGAGAGTAGTTATCAGAGGTTCACAGTCAAGCTGGAAGGGCATAACCAGTGGGGTCCCGCAGGTATTGGTTCTGGGTCCAGTTCTGTTCAATATCTTCATCAGTGATTTAGATAATGGCATACAGTACACTTATAAAGTTTGCGGATGATACCAAGCGGGGAGGGGTTGCAAGTGCCTTGGAGGATAGGATTAAAATTCAAAATGATCTGGACAAACTGGAGAAATGGTCTGAAGTAAATAGGATGAAATTCAATAAGGACAAATGCGAAGTACTCCATGTAGGAAGGAACAATCAGCTGCACACATACAAAATGGGAAATGATTGCCTAGGAAGAAGTCCTGCGGAAAGGGATCTGGGGGTCATAATGGATCACAAGCTAAATATGAGTCAACAGTGTAACAGTGTTGCAGAAAAAGCAAACATCATTCTGGGATGTATTAGCAGGAGTATTGTAAGCAAAAAACGAGAAGTAATTTTTCTGCTCTACTCCATGCTGATTAGGCCTCAACTTGAGTACTGTGTCCAGTTCTGGGTGCCACATTTCAGGAAAGATGTGGACAAATTGGAGAAAGCCCAGAAAAGAGCAACAAAAATGATGAAAGGTCTAGAAAACATGACCTATGAGGGAAGATTGAAAAAATTGGGTTTGTTTAGTCTGAAGAAGAGAAGACTGAGAGGGGACATGATGACAGTTTTCAAGTACATAAAAGGTTGTTACAAGGAGGAGGGAGAAAAATTGTTTCGGAGGAGCTGCCGAGAGCGGGACGGAAAGCACAGCGCCAGGACCCGGAGGCCGGGCAGGGAATGTAGGGCGTGTTATGCCTATACAAAGCATGGACATTTAAAAAGAAATTGTCCCTATTGGGCTGGGGGCAGGGTGCCTCACCCCGAGCAGGGACAGGGACAAGTTCCTACGACAGTCCGCTGGGTGAGGGAATCCAGGCGGCTGTGGACATGTTGGGCCTGTGGGCAGCGAGGGCACCTCTTGAGGGATATCCTTCAGAAAATGGAAATCCAAACCTAGGGAAGTCAAAATAAAGGAGCAAATGCTGTGGCAGATAAAGTGTTAGACGGAAATTAGGAGGGCGAAAGGAGCAATTTTTGAAGTGCAAATAGTCAAAAACAGAACACAAACAGTTAGCCAAAGACTCAAAACGTGGATATAGTGTATTTAGATTTTCAGAAAGCCTTTGACAAGGTCCCTCACCAAAGGCTCTTGCACAAAGTAAGCTGCTACGGGATAAGAGGGAAGGTGCTGTCGTGGATTGGTAACTGGTTAAAAGATAGGAAACAAAGGATAGGTATAAGTGGTCAGTTTTCAGAATGGAGAGAGGTAAATTGTAGTGTGCCCCAGGGGTCTGTTCTGGGACCAGTCCTACTCAACAAATTAATAAAGGATCTGGAAAAAGGGCTAAACAAAGTGAGGCGGCAAAATTTGCAGATGACACAAAATTACTCAAGATAGTTAAGACCCACGCAGACTGCGAAAAAGCTACAAAAGGATCTCTCAAAACTGGGTGACTGGGCAACAAAATGGCTGATGAAATTTAATGTTGATAAATGCAAAGTAATGCACATTGGAAAGCATAATCCCAACTATACATATAAAATGATGAGGTCTAAGGGTATGTCTACACCCAGCCGCTAGTTCGGCGGCTGGGAATCGAAGTTCTGGGTTCGACTTATCGCGTCTTGTCTGGACGCGATAAGTCGAACCAGGAAGTGATCGCCGTCGACTGCGGTACTCCAGCTAGACGAGAGGAGTACCGCGGCGTCGACGGGGGAGCCTGCCTGCCGCGTGTGGACCGAGGTAAGTTCGAACTAAGGTACTTCGACTTCAGCTACGTTATTCACGTAGCTGAAGTTGCGTACCTTAGTTCGAATTGGGGGGTAAGTGTGGACCAGGCCTAAATTAGCTGTTACCACTCAAGAAAGAGATCTTGGAGTCATTGTGAGTGGATGTTTTCAGAGAACTATCCAATGTGCAACGGCAGTCAAAAAAGCGAAGAGAATGCTGGGAATAATTAAGAAAGGGATAGATAATAGGACAGAAAATATCATGTTGCCTCTCTATAAATCCATGGTACACTCACATCTTGAATATTGTGTGCAGATGTGGTCACCCCATCTCAAAAGAGAGATATTGGAATTGGAAAAGGTTCAGAAAAGGGCAACAAAAATTATTAGGGGTATGGAATGGATTCTATATGAGGAGAGATTAATAAGACTGAGACTTTTCAGCTTGGAAAAAAGACGGCTTAGGGGAGAGATGAATGAGGTCTATAAAATCATGACTGGTATAGAGAAAGTAGATAAGGAAGTGTTGTTTACTATTTCTCAGAACACAAGAATTAGGGGTCACCAAATGAAATTAATAGGCAGCAGGTTTACAACAAATAAAAGGAAGTATTTCTTCACACAATGTACAGTCAACCTGTGGAACTACTTGCCAGAGGATGTTGTGAAGGCCAAGACCATAACAGGGTTCAAAAAGGAACTAGATAAATTCATGGAGCATATTAGCCAGAATGGGCAGGAATGGTGTCCCTAGCCTCTGTTTGCCAGAAGCTTGGAATGAGCAATGGGATGGATCACTTGATTATCTGTTCTGTTCATTCCCTCTGGGGCACCTGGCACTGGCCACTGTCGGAAGACAGGATACTGGACTAGATGGACCTTTGGTCTGACCCAGTAGGGCCATTTTTATGTTACGTTAAACCACAATAAATTCTTTAAATATCATTTGTTTCTTCACCACAAAAGATGTGAAGAGATATCTTATTTACCTGAAGAGAACAGGTGAAAAGAGATGGTGAAGAAACAAATGATTCATTAAATAGCAGCAAGTCACCAAGACAGGATGCTCTTGATCCAGGAGTTCTGTAGGAACGTAGAATGGAATGGATGGGCTGCTCACAGTAATAAACAATCCTTCATTAAAATCAGTTTCTGTACTGAAAGGCAGGCCAAGGTGATTGGGAGACCCTGAGAATTGCACACAAGTGAGCTCTACTTTAGTAATAGCTAAATTAGCTGAAGAGGCAGTGGCAAAACAGTGCTGAAGTCAGGAGAACAGGATGTCAAGTCACAGTACAAGAAGCTGCTGAGGGTGGGGAAGACGATCTGCACCTTTAGTATAGTGAAGTCACGGTAATATGAGGCTGCGTCCAGGGTAGGATCAGTGGTGCAGCTGCTGCTCAGGTTGGTGAAGGTCCGAGTACAGCTTGTCCTTTTACTCTCCAGGAAACCTGAAAAAAGGGAACAAGAGACATGAAAAAAATATCAGTAGGAAATGTCATCCTCAATAAAGCTGGAACTGCTACCATCACCACACTCACCAGCAGGATTCCCATCAATACAAAGTCCATCGGCACCCATTCCCACTGGCTGTCTTAGTGTGCTCAGTACAGATGATGCAGCAAAGTAGGTCTGGATTGGATCACCAGCCTGAAAAGGAAATTTGGAGAATTTACAAAATGTTCATGGAAAACCCAAACCAAGTGCAAGGGACTGAACACCATCAATGCAGGAAGGAATTATAGCAAACCATCAGGTCTGCTAGAGTTAAGGTTTAGACCAGCTTTCTGTTTAAAGCTTGACTCTTTGAAGTGCTCTAAAACCTGCATGGTTACTTGGATTGCCTTGAAATTTGGTGTGCCTCATTTGGGGGTACAGGGGTAGAGTTAATGACTCAAATTAATTGGTGATCATTTGACCAAGGGTTCCCAGAATACTGTCCCCTGTAGGGAAAAAAGTTTCCTGAAGATTTGTTAATTTTAATCAATGTATTGTTGCCCAAGGATAGGGCTCAAGCCATGGCTGAGATCATCACTCTGGGGTCTCAATCGCTTCAGAGTTATCCCCACAGTGCTTGTCACACACTAGGCCTTTGGAGGAGCAAGAAAATCATAACATTATTAGCAGAAAAGAGTTGAGCTGTGTCCATTCAACTGCACACCCATCACCCACAAACTCAGTGGTTACACTCTGCAGGCAGAGGCACTTGTTACCCCCACATTTTCCCCTCCCAAGTGTGTCAGGATCTATGGGGGGCTGCCTCTTTTGAGAGGGCTGAGCCCCCACTCCCTGAGAGTCAGGATATGGGGAACCATGCCCCTCTGGGGGTCTCTAAGCCCTTCCCCCTGCCTCCCCTGTGCCAAGATCTGAGGGTCCTCTGCCTATCTAAGTGGATCTGACACCCCACTTCCAGCCTCACCTCAATCCCTGGAAAAATCTTGGAGCAGGTACTCAAGGAATCAATTCTGAAGCACTTAGAGGAGAGGAAAGTGATCAGGAACAGTCAGCATGGATTCACCAAGGGCAAGTCATGCCTGACTAACCTAACTGCCTTCTATGAGGAGATAACTGGGTCTGTGGATGAGGGGAAAGCAGTGGATGTGTTATTCCTTGACTTTAGCAAAGCTTTTGATACGGTCTCCCACAGTATTCTTGCCGGCAAGTTAAAGAAGTATGGGCTAGATGAATGGACTATAAGGTGGATAGAAAGCTGGCTAGATCGTCGGGCTCAACGGGTAGTGATCAATGGCTCCATGTCTAGTTGGCAGCCGGTTTCAAGCGGAGTGCCCCAAGGGTCGGTCCTGGGGCCGGTTTTGTTTAATATCTTTATTAATGATCTGGAGGATGGTGTGGACTGCACTCTCAGCAAATTTGCAGATGACACTAAACTGGGAGGCGTGGTAGATACACTAGAGGGTAGGGATCGGATACAGAGGGACCTAGACAAATTAGAGGATTGGGCCAAAAAAACCTGATGAGGTTCAACAAGGACAAGTGCAGAGTCCTGCACTTAG